TGGAAATTCGTCTCGTCGAGAGGATTCCGGTGGTACCCTCGGATTTTCCATAGCCCTCCCGGATCGTCGGGAAAATGCATTTGAATGCCCGATTTTGACCGATTTCATGCTAGATCTGGAACCTTTGACCGCGAAATTGATGGCCTTTCCGGATGAATTTTTGCATGAAATTTTAAGGGTAGATTCACCTTGAGAAGATCTATCCGATGACGTAGACGATTTTCTGATCGGAGCACATTTTCCGGCAGAGGTGGCGACCGGCGGTGGCGACGACCGATGGAGAAGAAGGAGGTTTTAAAATTTTTTCAGTCGGAACTCCGCTTGACTTTTTTACGGGTCCCACAGAAGGCTCCAATGAAGTGAATAGATTTCACCTAGGCTCCTTCAACTCGAACGGCCTCCGTACCTACAGAACCCAACGCCGGGGGTGGCCCCGGCGTCGGGCCTCCGATGCCTAAGTCAGTGCCCAGATCAAGAGAGAGAAGGAGTGTAGTATGAAATGAATAGAGAATGAGAGAAAGAGATACCTTAGCCCCCTTTTATAGGGGGAGTGTACCTTTTGGGCCCAAGTTGGGCTTGACCCATATCGCGATGTCATATGTCTTAGTCCGTACGTGGACTTATCCTTCAATATTATTCGTTGTAGCCATTAAACCCGGTCTAGTATAATATCCTATATCAAGAGGACACGCTAAAAGCGGCCTAGAAACCCAGCTAGCCAAGCTAGAATAAAAACAGACTCAAACACAACCGACACAAAACACTAGAGACGCTTCTTGCGGGAGAAATGACACAAAACACTAGAATTACTCCCCACGGGAGAATAGGAACGACCCCCAAAGGGTAATAAGTACAGAGGCCAACGACCCAGACAAAAAACACACGATCAAAACAAAAAAACCAAACACAGAACACACAAACTAAGCTAACACAGACTCAATCAAACAGATGCAAAAAATAAATAGAATAAGCCCTTCCAAAGCATAACAGTCGGCCCTAACCAGCGGAGAACGGCCAAAATCGAGAAAAGATCCAAGTTCAGGTGACGACTTTCAAACTGCCATAAGGCCTATACGAGAAGACGAGCCCAGACACAAATCAATCTCCGAAACGACCCACCTCAACCGCAGGGACAACCGAAACCACACCCACTCTAGCACTGCCTGAACACGCCTAACACCACTAGCCAAGCATCGGAGCGCCAGAACCCTGCCGTATATCACCACTAGTCGATACAGGGGGTGAGATGCAGGCCCTGGACTCCGACACACCGTCAGAGCCCCGTCCCGACCATCAAACCATCCAATATATTCGTAGACCACCGGCACCCGGACTAGAAAACCTCGAACGGAGATCCGCCAGAAATACAAAATCACCCGAGGGGCCCTCTCTTCACGCACAAAATCAGAGATAGGTACAGAAGAGGAAAAGGACGACTTACTTACCTCCATTCGCGATCCACGGGCTAAGGACATCACCGGCAGCGAACCGATCGAGGCTTGTTGCATTCAATCGCTACAACACCGACGAACAAGGGCAGGCAGACCGACGCCACAGGCAATCCGCGGCAACACCGGAGGCTTGGGACAGCTGAGGAGGGGCCGGCAGTCGAGCGCGACCACTGACTGGTGCCGCACAACCGCCGAGGAAGGCAACATGAAGCTGGAACGAGGGTTTGAAGAGGGGGATTTAGGGGTTTTGTTTCGGAGTGAGGGTTTTTTAGAATTGTTGTGTTATAGAATTGTTGTCAATGAATTGTTGTCAATGAAAATTCATGTTAACTACGAAACTAACTAAGAAATAGAATTGTAATAAATTCTTTTCTCCAACATATTGAGAAATATTATCTCTCTTCTACTTACGTCGAGTACAATATTGAGAAATATCATGAGATCTTGGCATATATACAGCTTAATGTGTTTTCATTGGGTAGATGAATATTTTTGTTTTGATAATAATACATTTCTAATCATCAGAATGCATGTATAATGTTATTTTTTTGTCTTATTTGTGATATTTTTTTTATTGCCTTTTCAATTACTATAAAAGTTTGGTCCCACCTCATTCCATTTGCTAGATCCGCCCCTGACGCTACTCTCTCTAGTTCCTAAGGAAAATCAACTGAAACCGAGAGCAATGAAATGAGAAGAAAAACGTGAGTTTTGTGTGAGGTATAGGAATCCGATAAGAACTCCGGCAAATTGAGATATGCGCAAGATCATACAATAACAATCTGAGGCTAATTTATTCATCCATCTCGACGAAGTATATACAGCCCCCTAACATCATCCACCGGCAACCAACCACCACCGAAGGCGGCGACCACCGGCGGACCAAGACGCAGTACCCGACGACTAAAGTGCACGTCCCGCAGAGACCGCGAGCTCCCAGCGGGACCAGGCGCTGATCGACCCTACACGCAGCCGCACAATCCGTGATCCCAACGCAACCCGCAACATCGTGCCCCGAATATGCTCGGCAACCTCCTCGGTGTTCGACAAGAATTCCAATGAGACAGACGATCTCCATCAATGGAAATCTACAACATCTTAGAGTCGACAAAATTTGAAACGTAGGTTCATGAATACTGTCAATAAATTTTGCTACGATATGATTAAAGCCGTTAAGTTATTCGAGGCACACATGAATCGACGTTCTTCACCAAACCAAAAGGAAGATTTCACAAAGACGGACCACTTTGTTCACCGGAAAAAGCCGAGTTCGGAGTTCGCGGAAAAAAAGACGAGCGGAGTTCGCCGGAGATGGCCGTCCGTCCTTCGCTAGAGTTCTGCACGACAGTATCTTGCCAGATTTCTTAATGCGTTTTGTTTGTCTGAGATTGTCGTCGTAACACCTGCAGAAAAGGAGAAAATAATCGATGGGAAGAGTTAGGAAGGAGAAGAAAGAAGGAGAAAGAAGTAGGTGAAGAAATAATACAAAAATAGGAAAAAATTGGTAAGTTGAAGACTTGAAGGTGATGTCGACATGTGTTGATTTTGTATTTATTTTAAACTTTAAAGGAGTTAAGTAGAAGTGAAGTTGACATTAGGAAGTGAGGGTTAGATATTTAGA